TAATGACAGTCGACATCCTGGAGAGTCTTCCAGGAGATCCCGTCATTCTCCTACTTCAGCCAAAGAGGAAGTTCATTTCGATCGTAGTCCGCAAATTGAAGAAGTGATCCTTCCAAGCCGAGAACCTGAAATTCAGTGGCGTCGTCGCTCAGAAATTCAGGTACAAGAAGAAGAAAAAGAATATAACGATGATGACACTATGGAGATCGAGGTGGTTCGTATGGTCAGCCACGTCGATGTTGAAGAGGAAGATGATGATGGTGATGAAGAAGACCAGCAATCACAGCCGCGCGTACGTGTTTATCGACGTCGCCACAGGGCTAGACCCATTGCCAGCCAAAGTGCTCGCTCCTCAGAAGAAGGCGATGAGGAAGAAGAAGAGGTCGGAGAAAACCCCTTCGCTGGTGAAGATATCACACTCGCTGAAATGAGAAATCAAATGAGGCGACAGATGCGAAGAAAAGACAGAGAAATCTCTCAGTTAAATGATAAAATGACTGAGATGATGACTCAAATGACGGTCATGATGGAAATGATGCAGAAGACCACTTCTGTGGGCCCTGCACCGGCTCAGCCCGTCAACCAAGCTGCTAATTCTCAAAATCCTCAAGCGCCTCAAGCCTCAGGAGTGAAAGGTGTACCTGAAGGTGTCGATAAAAATGATGACCTAACCCGCCAGCGCACTCCCCAAAATGTGGCAAATGCCTCTGAGCCTGTAACTGCGTCACAGCTAGAAGGCTTAATCAGTGAAAAGATTAAAGCCATTATAGCTGCTGAACAGGCAGAGAAGTTGGTAGGAAAGGGTCGCCCGTACCCAGCAGAGTACGATCAGGTGCCGTATCCAAAGGGATATTCTGTGCCGAAATTCAATATCTTTGATGGCAATAAAAATCCCAGACAGCACCTCGCGCAATTCAAAGCTACCTGTGGGAACACAGGAGGCAATGACGCTCTGCTATTCAGGCAATTCGTAAGCAGCTTGAGTGGAACTACTTTCGAATGGTATGCCGAACTGCCAAATGATTCACTGAAGACCTTTATGGAGTTAGAGGCCTTGTTTGTGAAAAGGTTTGCCAGTGCAAAAGAGAATACTACCATTGCTGATCTTGCCCTTGATAAGAGGAGAAAAGATGAGTCAATAACAAGATAAATAACACGCTGGCGCAATCTCAGCATGAAGTGCGAGCAGCAGCTGGAAGAAGAGCATGCAGTTCAATTTTTGATGGGAAACATTGACGACAAAATGCAACCCTTCT